CTGGTGATCAAAGGTAAGAGAAGCTTATAATTGATGTTTGTTAAGTTAATTATGTTGTTTTTTTGTCTGGATGAATCTCTTAATGGCTATTTTGATTGAATTCAAGATTGAGAGTTGCTTATTTTGTGTTTTGGTTCATTTGAACATTTTCGAAACAAAATGATGATTTAGAGAGATTGATGTTGCATGTTTATTTTGGTGTTGAATTTGAGTGATTTGAAGTGTATACTTGTGTTGTTATGCACTGCATGTTGGTTTTGGATTGATTTTAAGGTGGATTGAGTCAAATCATGATTCGACCAAGTACAAGAATTATTGCATTGGGTGTAGCTTCATGGCGTTGGGTGTGATGGAAGGCAAGGGCTCTTTACTTCAATGATGTTAAGAGTGAGATTGGTAGTGTCAAACTTGAGTTAGAGGAGAGTTTCCTAACTTGGTCAAGTCGGACGTGAGTTAAAGGGCATCGGATGTGATTGACCTTGAAACTCTCTAACTTGGTGATATCAGGCCCAAGATGAGTGGTGTCGAGATTGGTCAAGTCAATGGCTCTTTGCATAGATGACGTCAAACATAGATTTTTTAGTGTCAAGCGTGAGTTATGCAGAGACTCTCTTCCTAGACGAGGTCAGGCGTAGATGTAGCTACATTAGGTGTGATTGACACAAGGACTATTTGTCTCATCCACATTAGAGACTTTTTGCCTTAATGACGTCAAACTTTAGGAGAATGGTGTCGAGAGTGGTTTACTAAATGAAAACTTGTTTATTTGACCAAGTGTTGAGCATGTGTTAAGTATATTGAATTACTCACATGATTTATGTTGTTGTATGATCCTAGTTCATTATGCATTCATCGGAGATGATGTATAATGATGTTCAAGTTGTAAGTTAACTATGAATGAAAGTTGAATTATAGTAGAGTTGTATGATGGTAAGATGTGTAGTAGAGTTTTCTCTTAAGGTGGAGTCTAGGGTTTGATACCATATGAGGGCAAGGTCAAGCCATACTAATTTAGAAGCAACCAATCAAGTAAGGTACAAGATTAAGGGTCAAAATTCCTAACTAAATAGTAGAAGGGGTACAATATTTTGAGAAGCTAATTCCATATATGCTTAGTTATACATGCTAACATTTTGATAAACTCACATGTCAAGTTGATTTATCTTTGCAGAAATACTAGACTTTGTTAGCTTGAGTGACAAAATCTAAGAAATCATGTTGTGTTGTAGATTTGATATCTAAATTTGTTGTTGATTTAATAAGTAAAAAAAGATTGCATTGTTAAGTTAGTTCGGTAAGATCAAACCACTTAGACTACTTACCTATATTTTAAGAGATCTTTTAGTTGATATGCATAATGGTGTATCAAGTTGTATTATGTTTTTTAGTTGATATATGATTGTGTTGTTGATAAGTTGTTTTGTTTACATACTATGTTGATATGTTGAATGATGTTAAGTTGAGAGTTGTGTTGAATGTGTTAGGTTTTGTGTTGTTCCTAAAATATGATGTGCTGAATGTGTGACTAAGTTGAGCATTGAACCATTTTTATGATGAGATGATGTTATAAGTTGTGGTGTTGATATGATGGGGTGATGATATAGTTGTACATTATTCTATTGAATGTTATCTTGTTGTCTTTAAGCTTATCCGTACATTTTTCTTATTGTTAGACTGTAATGATCATACTTGTTATGAAAATAAGATAGGAATAAGCTAAAGGACGAACGAGTTTTTAAGGGCTAGACTAGAGATAACGGTGTTGTTTGGACTATTTTGATGTAGCTTGTAAATAATGGTTGCTTGACTGACAACCTAAGTTATGTTTTGAGTCATATATATATATATATATATATATGTGTGTGTGTGTGTGTGTGTGTGTGTGTGTGTGTGTGTGTGCGCGCGTGCGCGCGTGTGAATATATGTATAGTTTTCAGTTATACTCTCACTTAGGGATTTATATTCATGTTTTCAATTGATAAGTTTTTATATATATGTCTATATACTGCTACATATATATCCAGGAACTATTTGTACGATAAATCCTAGATAATTCGATTTATGTTTTCCATTGCTTAAATTTTTAAAGTGTAAGGGTCTATCGAATCGTTACAATTATACTCTCTTTCATTTTTGCTTCACAATATATGTATATCATTTGTCATATGTAAATTAACTAAAAATTTGATGAAATATAAAGGTATAATTTATGATGTAATAATTAATATTGTCTTAGAATTTAAAAATGATGAGTAAATAGAAACAAAAATTTTACTAAAAATCCCATAGATAAAAAGGAATAGAGGGAGTAATATCTTAACACACCTAATATTATGGATAATTATACTAATCAATATCTTATCTTTAATATAAAACTGATAAATAAGCACCAAATCTTTGAAAATGAAGAATTACAATGGATAATTTATATTTACTAAAATCTTTATTTAATTGAATATCAATTTTATCTCTTATTTAATTGAGGTAACAATCTTAATTCCTTTTTGAATTAATTATCTTATTAACAACATATATTTACAAAAGATATGATAGAATAATAACGACTATTCATACACATCTATATAAAGGGAAGGGAGTATGTTTAAACCTAATTCTCATTATTTCAGTAAGATTGTTTTTTAGTTGAGTATTGAAGTCTTTTGAAAGTATTCCACCGTGTGGACACAAGAGAAAGAAAATCAGAGGATCCTTAGCCACCATTGTAAAGGTATGTTTAAATTTAAGTAGAAATAATAACCTTAATATTTTCCTTTAAAAGGTTGTTTTTATTATGACTTCGTAGTTTAGTTTAGAATTCTGCAGTGCACCCACACACTACGGCTTTAATAATACGATGCACTTTGCATGTTCTCTTGCTAGTTTCCCGAGGGGAGGTAAAGAAACAAAATGGTCAAAATCAAAATAATAAGTGATGGTTCCATTAGAATATAGGACGGTTAGAGTAAGAAATTTAGGACAATAACTATTTGTTGAAGGAGTGACATAAAAGTGAAGTACTCTATCTCTATGCACATGGTGTTGCAGCATGCATCGAGTCTAAGTGGAGGGTTCTTTGGTCCATCAACCACACAATGTGTTCTTTGACCTTTTTGATCCCACCATGTGATTGTGCGTGAACCAATGAAACCATTTGAATTTCAGATATATATGCTCAGCTTCTTCAACTTGATTTTCAAATATAGTTTGGACTCAAGGCCCCTCAACATTTTCTCTTTAAAGTGTTATTTTTTTGTGTGTGAAAATAAAATGAATTAATATCAAATATTGTAAAATATGACTCTTATGACAAATTATAAAAATTAGTATAATTAATTATATAATTGTTTAAATCTAAATTATAACACTTCACTTTATATTTTTAAAATTAGTTTTTCAATGTTGTAATGTAAAGTAATCATAATAATTACTCTATCTATTTTTTTATTATAAGTAAAAGAAATTAATTTTATACATATTAAAAGAATTAGTTATCTATATTAAATTTTATTAATCTTAAAATATATTTTTTAAATCATCTTTATTATAAATGTTAAAATAAATAGTGTCGTTGAAAAATTATATATTAAAAAGATATTTTTTAAAAAAATATTATTAAATAAGATAAAAATAATTAAAATTTATTTATATTTAAAAAAAATATTTTTTTATAATAGAAAATAGAGAAAGTATTTATAATGTAATTATTACATAAGTAAAATTGATTTATTTTGTTGATCCTCGTTATCTCCGTCTGTGTCATTAAATTTGCAGACAGAGAAGACACTTTGGTTTTGGTTTCTCTTTCATTCCTTAGCTTAGCTTCGGAGTTTCTGAGTTGTCGCACGCTGCCACTGCCCCAACATTTACAAGTACGACGTTTCAGTATCTCATCCCTTTGATTTGAACCAACAATAACACCTCATTTCCCTTTCAGTTTCACAAACATAAATCCATTGTAACTGTCAAAACAGAAAGTGAGGTTCGATTCCAAAACATACCGGTTGCCAAGTTAAAAATTAAAGGCTCAAAACACACCTCATTCAGATTCAGAGAAAAATAGGAACCTGAAACCATAACAAGAATATTCCATGCTCCTCTCTTTTCTTTCTGTTTTTCTTTCCAAAACCACAGTGAATAATGGAGTTGCGTGTACCTTTTACTCTTTAGACTCCACACTCTCTACCACTTTATATCATAACAATATAGCTGTAAAAACAAACGCGTTGTTCTACTTTTACCTTGCATTTCGACACTGGAACCTCCGTGTGAAAAGGGCTTTCAAATCTCCAACACAAGATTGTGACAAGAGAGATTGTTTTTTATTCAGATGGCAACATTTGCGGCAGAGAAATTACTATCAATTAAGCATCCATCAAGCAAGACAAACACTACCAATTAATCTCAGGCTTTGTGCCAACAAGTTCACTTTGTTTTATTTTTAATTTCTGAGATTCCAAGGTTAATTAGATTGGACGTTGAATGGTGCAGAACAATGTCATGGATTTGGAGGACAGGTTGGAGCCAATGAATTTGGAAATGAATATGAGGTGGAATAGAGATCACAATGGCTTAACTCCATCCACCTCACCACAAGTGTATTATAATAATAATAATAATAATATATTATTGTGTTTGGTATAGATATAGAAGAAGAGAAAGTGGGTTACAACGAGAAAGGTTGGTCTTTTGGTCTTTGACATTTCATTGGAGACAACCTATGGACCCTACTAGTGTTGTGGGCACCCACTAGCAGCTTTTTTGTCTCCTTATTTTTATTATTTATTATTTATTATTATTATTTTTATACTCTCTCTTCTTCTCCACACCCCCCCCCCCCCCC